TTGGCCTCAGACTAGATCCTCTGCTCATCCCAACCTGCACCCATGTCTAGGAGAGTTCTCATAGCACCTGGGTTTCAAATAACTTCTAGACAGTGATGACTTCCAAACAGGCATCTTTGCACTGGCTCCTCCCGGGAACTCCAAACTCACATTTGCAGCTTCCTACTCACCATCATTACTTGGATACCCTAATAAACACCCCGGCTTGAACATGGCCATGCTGGCCTAGAATCAGCCCGAGCTGGTTTGCTAAAACCCCTTCTGACGCTAACCTCTGGCCGGAGCATTGCATTCATCAAGGGCACTGCTGTAGAACCAAGGCCTGCAGTTTCAGGTGGTTCCACCTGTGGGCACTGCTTATCACTGACAATGCAACAGCTGATCTGCAACTGGCCTCAGTGAGAGTCTGGGGATCTCTGCCCCTAGAGGTGGTTCTGCAGAAGCACAGAGCTACGTGACCACCAACACATGAGGATACTGGGCTGACAGAAGCGCTCACACACATAACATGACTCTTGACCAAGGCAGAAGCATGCCCAGGAAAGGCCTCACGCAAAGGACCAGCGGAGCTGCCCTCATGCAGCCTTTGTCTGTGACCCCTGTGACACATTTTTACCTAGGTGCTGTGCTCTGTGGCATCATTTTCTCACCAATATACGATGCGGGCTTTCAGCACTGTCATCTGGGGTCCCATAAACCTTCCTCCATAACCAAAATCTGTCTGACACTGTCAGTATGATATCCAAAATAAGGCTCCTGCCATGATTGCCCACACTGGCTCCTCCTAAACTCCTTCCCACTGCAGGAAAATGGGAGCCCTGATCTTTCAGTTCTCTTTTTAGGAGAAAAACAAAGAGGTTGTCTTTGACTCCTCATGCACTGCACATCCGGTTCATCAGCAAGCGCAGTCTGATCGTGTCTCCCCTCTACCACCTTGGTTCAAGACACCTCATCTTTCCAGGTTATTACAACAGCCTCCCAGCATTCCTGCTGTTTGTACAGCATCTTCTCCACGCCCCCTCCTTGCCAGAATGCTCCACCTCTGTCTGCAAGGGCCCTTTGTACCTGCTCTGCCCTCCACCCAGGTGTTATTCCCCAGAGAACAACTTGCTTTGTGCCCTTCTCTTTACATAAAAGCCACCTTCTCAGAGAGGCTTTTCTAGTGACCTTATCTGACATGAACCACCCACACCACACATCATGCACTATCCCTCTCCACCACTTTCTTCATTCTCCTGGAAGTTATCACCAGATACCACACTATCTTCCCCAGCAGAATGCAAGTTCACTGAGGGCAAGAATTTTCATCTTCCACTCTGCTCTGTTACAGTGCTTACAATAATCTGCACAGTAGGCATTCTGTAAATATTTTTAATGACTATAAAAGTGACATAAAATGATGGGTAATTATTTCAACTCTTGTATTACTGATATTCTAGGAAGGCATGTTTATGGACAAGAATTTATCTGGTAGCTTTAGGTGTCTGCTGATACACAGCCACACCCCCACAAAGGTGCACCCACTCCAGCGGGTGGGAGGAGAGCAGGCCCAGGTTAGAGCCACCTCCCTGGTGTGCCACAAGAGGCCTCAGTCTGCTTTGTTGGACCTTCTCATGGCCCTGCTCCTCACACTCGGGTCACTTGGCTTCTGGAACACACCACACCTGCAACACCTTCCATTTTTTATTTCCCTAGTGCACTATAAGGACAAAAATTGAGAGTTATCTTGAGCCCTCCCCTTGTGCTGCACATCTGATCCATCAGTAAGCCCAGATGGCTGTCCTTCCAAAGTACATCCAGGACCTGATTGTGTCTCCCAGCTCCACTCTACCCTTTTAGCTCAAGGGCCCTCATCTCTGTGGGATATTACCACAGTCTCCCGGCTACTCCTGCTGTGTCTGAAGCCCATTCTAAATGCAGCGGCCCCCACTCCTACACTCCTGCCTCCCTCTCACCTCTGCTCTGCAACTTCCTGAGTCATTAAATGGTAAACTTCTTCCTCAGTGCTTCTGTTTGTGGCCCTACCATCTACAAGTATGTGGTGGTGATGGTGTTCATAGCAGTTCCTGATAACTGTGGTAACTTCAGAGAAATCATGCTCGTTCCATCCCTGTATTTGGCCCCATACTCAGCAAAGAGGTTAACACATCGGAGGTCTTCAGTAAACGCCACCAAATGAACCAAAGAGAGAAGACAGTCCAAAAATCACAATCCCTTCATCATCATTCAGAGGTATATGGAGCAATCTGGGGCCTAGGCCAAGACCAGGTACACCTGCCCTTGGCTACTGTCTGATTCCCTCTCCTCCTTCTCCAAGCCACTCCCCATAACCAGAAGCCAGAATTCTCTCCCGAGCAACATGGGACCGAATGGCCAACCACTCCTCTGTTTCCCCTAGCACTGACAGGCGGTGAGTCCTGAAAGAGCAGAGGCTCTGAGGACCAACGCCAGTCCAAGGCTCTGAAGCTGAGGGCCCACATCCCATTGACGCTGCCAGGGTAAATTGCTCAGACTTGCTGAGTCTTAGTTTCCCCACCCGTACTGCTGGGATACACCTGCCTGACACACCTAGCTCAGGAGGGTGAAGGGAGGATTCAAGGGGGAAATGAGTTAAGTGGAGAAAAAAATAGAAATTCATGAAAATCATGCACTAATAAATGATTACTGGTTCATCTGCCTTCCTTCCCATTCACACACCGACCTTGATGTTTGAAGTCATGCCATTATAAAGATTTCTTCCATCAGAAGAAATTGTATTCAAGAAGAAATAAGTAATTTATTAAAACTATCTGGTGATAAAGGTCAGAGATATGACAATAAATAATACGCAACTTCCACACTGAAAATTATTAAGCACAAAATAGATGTTTAGGAAGCAAAATTACTTAACCAGCAGTGAATATTAATAAAGTGCAAATGGATTGTCCATGAAGAACAGAAAGAGAATATTAGGTCACATGTTGAGATCTGTTTGTGCCTATTCCAAAAATAATGCAATGAACAATGATCAATATTAACCACTAGATTGGCCCTACCTGCTACCACGTTCATGTTATCTTTGAAGTTCTGAATAAATCTGGGAAGAAATGGACACTGAAGATCATTTTCAAATTCATACAATTTCCTCTAACACTTTCTAAAATTCCCCTTTTTTTTTCTTCCCAAGAACAAACACTTCACTCCAGATGCTAAGTGGGGTAGGGGAAACTACCTAAATCAGAAATTACAACCCAGGAAAGGGCGCAGGGAGAGGGCAGATAACAGTCAGCAGCTACAAAAGAACCTTCCACTTCCTGAGCACCTCAATGCTTTCCTCTCAAGCAGCTCTGCTTGATGGGTACCCTTCCCTCTTTCCAGATAGGTCATTTCAACCTTAAAGTGGAAAACTATGTGTTTAAGAAAACACCTCTAGCAAAGCACTTTAAATGGATTTAAAAACATACCCTATGGGATTCCCAAAGTATAAGCTTTACCATTGCTCTGAGCGGCCTCCACTAAGACAAGCAAGAGCTCTTCTTCTAAAACCCAGGGTAAGTAGGGATTCTGTAAAGATTTCTAGGACCTCGTCAGATTGTGTGGCACAAAGACAGAGCAGGTGAAAATGACTTTATGCAGGATCAAAGAAGGATCAAAGAAGTGGACAATTTCACTTTCAATGCTGCCAACGTCACCACCATCTAAAAATAATAGCAAATTCAGTGACTAGGTTTGTGAAGAGCATTTTCAAAATTTAAATCCATATAGAAGTTAGAAAGTAAACTATTTGAAGTAAAAAATTTAGGTCAAAGAGGTGAATGTGAAAATGTGTCAATGTAATAGGACCTAAAAAGGGCTCAGACAGTAGTAGTTCTGATTAGCTCCCAACAAAACTTGAATAAGAGCTGTCAAGGTTAGCCAGAAATAGAGCTATGAAGAGGAGAGGTAACATTTTGGGGAACCACAGTAAGATAAAATTAGAGTAAAGGTCCAAGAATTTTTTAAATGGGATTAAGATTAGTAATAATCCTCTTTTTCTAAGTCATGCAAATGGAATAACATCAACTACAAAAATGAGAAGAATATCCTGACTTAGAGTTTCCATTCAATTTAAAAGAAAAGTAAGCTCTAAGGGAAAATAAATGTGTGTACAAGTACAACATTTTCAATAACCAGTTACTTCTTTTCTTATAAGAAAATTCTAGGGCTTTTTTCTTGACTGAGATTCTGAGTTTGACCCATGAATTGTTTTATGCAAAAGAAATCTGCAACATAAACACAGCAACTCTAAGAAGCCTCACTGAAATTTATAAAACATTTTGGGGTTAAACTCAGAACAATTTTCTTTCTATAACCATACTGTCCGGCCGGCAAGGAATAAATTAGAACTAAATAAGTTTTTATTCAAAAAACTGTTTTCTGTGTACCAGGAAATTACTTTGATTGGAGTTTAGAACAGCAGTAATTAGCCACTTCTACCTGATCAGTTAAAGGAGACAATGAACAGCGCTACACCTTGTCTAGATTAAAGCAGAGACAACTTGTCAGTTTACGGGGTACCCAGCTCAAGAGAGACCCACCACAAATCCATTTTTTCAGACTTATTCTGGTGAGGTTAAGGTCTTTGTCTCCCTCTCATTTGCCAAGGAATACTTCTCAGTAGCAAGGATCATCCTAGCCATGAGGGTCTCCACCAGGGTAACCCCATGTCCTCCAGCATTTCTAAGACAGAGAAATGTGGAAGGAAACAGGAAGAAAAGAGAGAAGAAATACAGAGGAGCAGAAGAGTGGTGAGGAGGAACAGCAGGAGGAGAAGCGAAAGAGGAAGTAGAGATGGGGTAGAAATAAGAAAGGATGGAAGATGAGCTGAAAGAGTGCCAAGAAACGGGAAAGAGGCACAAGCCAAGCAGCATCAGGGCAAAGAGGGCTCCTACCAGATCAGGACCAAGAACAGCACTGTCTTTCCTACCCTCACTGTTTCCCCTTAGGGGGAAAGGGAGTCCCAACTCTGGTGGAGCCCTTACCTGGATGAGTTCGTCCAACTCGGAGGAATTCACGCAGGAGTGCTGGGATATGAACGTTTGCTTCTGGATCACGATGGTGGTCCTCTGGGAAATCTCCTGAGGCTGCTCCAGCGCCTTGAACACGGTGGCTCCTATGATTAGGTAGAGCACAACTACCAGGAAAATCGTGGAGACCGTCTTCCATTTCATAACATTAATGGCCGTGTCACTCTCCACGCGGGAAGCAAGTACTGTGGGTTTCGTGGAAAAGGAGAGCCTCGGTTTGGAGTTCTGAGCGGCAGATTTTGGATCCAGCAAGTCAGGTGCCGCCACTGACAAGGACAGAGAAGGAGGGTTAGGTTGGAGGAGACTGGAGGGAAATGGATCAGGCTGCTTCTCTAAAGGGTCAGCAAGGGCTGGCGGGACCCGCGTGTCCTCCTGTTGGATGCTCTGGGACCTGACCCAGGAAGCTCTGACTGGAGAGCTCAGGGCCCTATATATGGTCAAGGAAGTGGGGCTGGGTTTTAGCTCTCGGCTGCCATTGGAGTTCTGGGGGGAGGAAATTACAGGAGTCATACCAAGACATTTAAAAAAATAAAGTAATACCCAAGGGCTTCCTAATTAATTTCTAAATTTATATCTGACCACCACACAAGTCAACCAAGGCACACTGAACTCCCAATAACTAGTGGAACGAAATGGCAACTTGGAATGTTGAGGAAGGCTTCTAGTTTCTTCCTGTTCTCAAGAACTTTATACCGAGAGAAATCAGAACACCCTCTATTTTTAAATTTGTAATAATAAAGGACATATTGTAATTGCAGTATTAGAGAATTTGTGATCTAAACCTTATAGCTCAAAAGAAATCATTTTTTTTAGATAAAACAGGTAAACAACCCACTCAGTCCAGTCATTCATGCTTGTGCTTCTCTTCCTCAGTGAGATTATGAAGCAACATCATTTTCTGACATGTTAAAAAAACAGAAATCTTTTCTAACCCTTGTGGCACAAGCGCAGGTAGTCAAGAAAAGATGAGTCCTTCCCTTCCAACAGTGAGTAACATCAAGAAAACAAAAACAAAATAAAAACTTTGACTCACACCTTAGACTGTCCCTGCTCTACACAGACCTAATTACTCCATTAGAGTGGATTGATGGGTTCCCTTACAGGTTCCCACATACTCTGAGGTGATTCTATCTTCATTTATTATTTATCTCAGCTGGTCAAAAATATCACTAATTGGTCTCTTTTCAGAAAATACAAGAGCAACTAGGCTCCCAGTTGCTAAAAGGAAAATAAGCCCACCTACTACAGAACAGTGGATTGCAAGGGTAACCTTAAACTACAGAGCTGTTAGAATGGCCAGAAGACATCAGACTTAAAAACTCACACTCAAAGAGAAAAATCAATTCAAGGTCTATAATTGCTAGATATGAGTAAACTTGCTGTCGCATATAATATAGGCTTTGTAAAATTATACCCTAAATGTGAAACACACGTTTAGATGAGTATACAAGAAATCCCCTTGGCATTGCACCTAAACACCCAACAACCACCTGAAATTACTTGAGGATAAGATGCTCCTAAAGAAGGCCAGTTTCCCCACGGCTACAATCCTGCTCCCTTGCCTAGCAGCATGCTGGCTGCCGCAGTCCAAGTTCATAAAAAGCATCTTCCATCGGCCACCTAAAAGCTTTCCATACAAAGCCATTTGAAGCACTAGATGGAGGTAGCATTGCAAAAATCAGTGCAGGTAAGAGAGGGTCCTCAACCAGCACAGCTCAGAACAGTTCTTTAAAGGGATGAAATCAGAGTTCTGATGAAGACACAGGACCACTGATTCTAAGGAGAGATTCCTCACCTCTGTAGCCCATCCCAGCAATTCCCTAAGATTCAGCCGTCTGCACGCAGGTATATATACACCTGGTTCCCTCCTGTACATTCACCTGTTCTGAATACACAGAACACAAATGGGGAGACACCTTTAAGACGTTTAGGAAGGCAATTTCATTCAAAATTAGCACTACGAGTGTGTCTATAATGTCTTAATTTTTACAAGACATACTTTTCGAAATAGAAGTGCTCATAATAGCTAAAGATCACTGTTATCTGCAGACTCACCAGCACCACCCGCAAGCTGGTTAGGGAGGCTGGGTGAAAAGAAAAGTCATAATCGAGAGCTTAGCCATTTTGGAAATAAAAATAACAGAAAAGCACACAGAAGCTTCACATTATCTCCCCCAAAGAAACCTCTCCCAGCCTCTCCTCTGTACTGTCTGTGCTCCGTGCGACTGCTTTTCCACATCAGTGGCTTCTAGTCTGCAGAAACAGAAAGCGCCAAGGCTGCTTACCTTGAAGCTACCAAATACCAACCTGAGATGCCCCCAAAACACTGTCATCTTAGGCTCTGGGGGAAAGAAGCTTGTTTTTTTTTTTTTTCAAGAGAAAGAGTGAGTGTGTGTGTGTGTGTGTGTGTGTGTGTAGAAAACCAATACATTTTCTCAAGGAGTTTAATTCATTTAAGCTGTTGCCTTATTTTTTAATTAGCAGAAATATATATAATGCACATTTGGCAGACAGAATGGGCAGCAATTGGTGAAATAAATAAATAAATAAATAAATAAATAAAAGCAGCCTCTTCTCTGGATCTAACATGGGGAACCCCTGGGTTTCCATCTCCCGGGTCTGAGGAAGACCAAGGACCAAGGTGGACCCTTCCACAGGCTCTCTGCACCTTCAGGGCCCCCCTCCTTCCCCCAGCACATCACCCCGCTGTCCTCACCCAGCCGTGTCTCCGCTCCTGCAGCAACTGACCACCGCACAGCAGGAAAACCGAGCTTTTTTTTTTTTTTTTTTTTTTTTTTTCAGCACCACTGCGTGTCCCACCATGCAATAGGCAACAAGTGTGACCAGGGTCACCATGCAACCTGCCGGTGGGCCACTCTCCAGAACTGACCCTCCGCCTGCACCGCAAACTCTCCCCAGGTGTTCCAATCCCAGACACCCCAGGCAGATGCACAAACCCCAGGCGCCAGCAGGAAAGGGGGCAGAAGCGGCCAGGAGAGGATCCGGGGATGGGTTCGCCTCCAAATCCAGATTATGACCCGACACTCCGGACGGGAAAAGGAGACGGGACGCGACCGCCGGGGCCGGCGCAGCCGTGCCCGGGCTGGAGGCTGGGGGGCCGGGTCTCACCTCCTGCTGTGTAGCCGGGTCTCTCCCGCGAGGCGCTGGGAAGCATGGGGCATGCAGCATTCAAAATGCTTTTTGGGAAAAGACGGACTTGAAGCTTTTTTTTCTTTTTTTTTTTCTTTCTTTTTT